TAAAGGGCAATATAGGGTGGGACATTATAACTCTGAACAGGGTACAGTAGAAAATCTGGAATCAGAAAAAATTAAATTTGGTAGAAACTCTCTGGCAGCCTCAAAGGCATTTAAATTTATCAGCGGCATGTTTATTGCATGGAAATAGCATGCATTTCCTCAGCAAATGTGATGTAAATATCACATTTCCCCAATGTCATATTTAGTTATGGAAAATGGACTCTGTTCAAGTTATCCAACTAGAAGGATGGCAAGGGCCCTCATGCCCAGCAGCCGAATCCAACCCTTTGGATTTGGTTAGATAGCCAATGTTCACTTAATAGTTTGTCAGACTTCCTATCATATTTTACTCATTCTAAGGTTGAAATGCTGCTGCCAAGACCTATTAGCAGGAATGTGGAGGTGCACAATCACTAGCTTCTCAGAACATGAAGCATGCTCCCCATAAGTGTGAACCCTCAACTCTAGGGTTGCTTGTCTAGGTTTAACCCAATTTTCATGCATAACAGCATCAGATAGTTTGGATTACAGGATTTCATTGTTTATTTTACAAGCGGATCTTTAGCCCTTGTAGGAGTAACTGGTGAAAATGATGTGCAGTCACTCTTTTGTCCAATAGATTTATGAAAAATGAGCCAGCCGTGCTTTTACATATGTTTAGGCAGTGAGTGAAGTCTTGCATCTAACACTGACTGCGACAGTAGAGATGTAGAATTAAATATGTTTTATTGTTTTTTCGTTGTCACACCCCAGTTTCATAGGTCAATGGTACCACTTACTAACAAAATCTAGTTTAGCAAAAATCTGTTCTGTAGAACTATTTGTAAAGGCCTTATAGAAAATAAAGAACCCACCAGAACACTGAAGGGGGGATAAGAAAGCAGCATGAAAGACAGAATTTGGTGTTCCACCCAGGTTCTTTTCTCTTTCAGGATTTGTTTGATGTAACAATATTTTGTATTTTTATTAGATCTCCATGTTCTATTTTATGGGGGACCATTAGAGTTCCCACTGCCTATGGAAAAAATGGAAAAGGTTGGAACAAATCATTTTGTTCCAAATCTTAAATACTAAAAGTATTGGCGTACTTAAGATTTTAGAAAAAGATACATTTCAAATATTATGCTTTATAAAACCCCTCAATGCACAGAAACCACCTGGAACAGAAACCATCTGGAATAACATCTGAACAGGTAATTCCTCCCAAATTCCATCTTTCCAGAAGCAAATACATTGTATAATGTCCACTACTGCACATAATACAAATGACACAACAAATCTTAAACCCATGCTATTTTAAAATTCTTCTTGTGAAGGTGTCTTCATGATGATGATGATGGTTATTTCTTAAACTGTTCTTTCAAAAGTGAACTTTCCTGCTGTTATAAGGAAGTCCTTATATAGCCCTCTAAATATTTAAACTGGCACAGATGGCAACTCCCAATAGCAGTGACCTATGATTCTGCAAACCTTTTGCTTTTTCATTTCTTTATTTAGTTCCTTAAATGCTCTTTTCAGTGTCCCTGCAGTGCTGCAGTGTAATCGCCAATGACTTCTTTTTTAAAAAAGTAAGAGCCAGTACGACCATCCCTACAGCAAGGTTATCATATTTACACTAAGGCTATCCCATCCATTATGTGGGATAGAGCATTAAATAAGGATTAGAATGAAACGGGTCTGCTAAGGGAAAAAGCAGTTCAAATATCTGGAACAGCCCAAAGTAAGTACGAAGATACTGGAAATGCATGGTATTTGCACTGAAAATGCAATCTTAATTTACTGTTTTGAACCATGAAATGCATATTGATTTATGTTTATAATGAAATTTCATGACATATTCCGTGAAACATCAGGCTGTACAAAGACAAGATGTTAATCTATATTTAATACATTTATTGTAAGGTTAAATATGGCATGAAAGACAATAGATATTACCATTGTTCTCCGGTTCAGTGCGTTAAAAGAGAGAACAGTGGTATAGATCTAATTTTACAAGGAAATTGCTAAAAGAATGGATGTATTGGAATGGATATAATAAAACAAGGTATTTAAAATTGCATGCTCAGGTGAATAATAAGCACTTAAAAATTATGTCTGGCCACTGAAAAAGATGCATTTGCTCCAAAACTACCCCTATTCCTTAATAGCTGATAGCCACTGTATTAGGTTTATTGTGTGATTTTGGTTTTTAGTATTAAGGTGACTTTGGCATGAGCATAATCCAACAGGGAATGATCTAACAGGATTTTTAAGGCAGGAAAGTCAGTGTATTCTTTTTAGTTTTGGTGAGATGCAAATAATCTCTTGCAAGAATATGCATCTAAAACCCCAATAATGGTCATGAGAAGTTTGGAAAAGTTACTTTTATACTCCAGTTTCCAGAATTCACCAGACAATGGCAAGCTAACAGATTCTGACAGCTCTAATCCAACCCAAAAGGCGACACCCCAAAAAACATCTCTGAGCTCTGCAGAAACAAACTCTACTGTGCTGAAAAATGTAAAGCACGCCTAAAACAGGAATCTGTTCTATCATGTTTGCTTTTCCCTTTGTTCTTGAATATGATAAAATCCAGTCTACTCCCAGCCAAAGATCTGTGTGCTTACTTTGAACCAATATTTGAAACTCAGCAGTCCACTTCAGACCAGCAAATATGGCCATGGTCAGATGGCCTTTAGCAGAACCTTAAGAACACAAAACCTCTTCAAACAGGCAACATGAATAAGGCTTTCAAAAGGCCACAGGGAATACAGTTTTAATTCAACCCTTGATAAAGACACTGGGAAATCTCCCATTATAGGAATTCCATCACCTTAGTACTAAGATAATGCAGGACTTAATCAAGAACAAAATCCTTGGGGTTTTTTTTTTTTTGAGGGGTGTGGATGTGGGTTTCAAGGCATCACAGTTCTAAGCAGCATTCCAGGGGGGAAAAATCACATTAAAAACAATCTGAATACAACTTATCTATGAAGGCTACTTTGTACCACCCAGTAGTTTAGAAGTTAAACAATGACTTCCATGAATATCTAGCCTATGTATTCCACTCCTTTAAAGCTTTTAGACATCAGCTGATGAGTTATCACCAAAAACCATGGAAACTAGTGAGATCTTGAAAGATTTTTGAAAAATGTGAAGCTGGAAATTGAATACACACATATATTAGCTAAGGATGAGATCACGTTAGCATTATATAATGAGGCTTTTGTCTTCCTATCACCTGGTTTACTCCTGCAGAATTTTGGAAAATGTAGTTCAGAGTGAGGCCTTTGGAATTCTCAGCTACAGAGGTCCTTGGCTTATCTAAACTACATTTCCCAGAATTCTGCAGGAGCAAACCAAATGATAGGGAGATGAAAGCCTCCATTCTATAATGTTAATGTGATACCATCCTTAATGGGAATATTGTGTATGGGACTGTGTAATGCTATACACATCTACACTACATTCTACTGAACATGTGGCCCTATCTTCTGAACAGACCAATTGTGTAGCGTGACTGGTGGGTCCATTCACACTGCACAATTACAGTACCATGGTTCCACTGTAACTACCATAGCACCTCCTATTGATTCCTGGGGTTTGCAGTTTAGGGAAGAGCATTTACAAATCCCAGGCAGCCAGAGAGTTCTGATGCCTCAAAAATGCAAAACCAGAAATCCATACGATCTAGTCATTGCACTTAAAGTGAAATCCTATGGTGCATCTACACTGTAGAATTAATGTAGCTTGATACAGTTTTAACACCATGCTGCCACTTTAATTGCCATGGTTCTCAGCCAGAGAGCTCTATGGTCTCATTAAACTACAAATCTCAGGACTTCAGAGGATTTAGTCATTAGGCTTGTGCATGGATTCATTTTGGACGTTTGCCTTCAGCATGTTTGGCTTGTTCGGCTTGTTCAGAAGCCTATAACAGCAAGGACTTTACCACAATTTTTTTACTGGTTGCAACAGAACAGTGGCTGTTGAAAACCGGCTGCTTTCAGTTTCTTTCATTTACACATTGAGTGCAGGGAAGGAGGCTGCCACTAGAAGGAAAAGGAAAAGAATCCCAGGAAGCAAGGTTTCTTAAGCCCTTTCTTTAAACCCAGGTCTCTTCTAAAGACAGAAGAGAAAGGATCCCAGGAAGTGAGGTTTCTTAAGCTCTGTCTTTAAACCTAGGTCTCCTCTAAAGACAGAAGGGAAAGGATCACAGAAAGAGTGGTATCTTAACTCAGATGCTTTAAATGCAGGTTTTAATGAAGGATATAAGAACAAATGATGCCAAAAATGATGGGAAGGTAAGCCTGGTAATTTTCCCACCAATTGGCTGGATAAAAAACCTAATATTTCAGCTTTCCAGATCAAAAAAGGATTTCTGTCCTCCCGAATTCAGGAGGCTTAAAAAAAATGGATCAGGACCCTCATCAAAATCCGGGAAACTGAAATGGATCATGGCCTAGTAGCCATGAACCTGATTACTCTAGTTAAAGCAGGTTTGCACTACTTTAGTAAGCCCAGGAACTAAGTTTTGTTCTCTTGGACCTACCAAGGTTTAAGGTTTCAGGAGCATGGATTTCATTTTGATAAATGTCTTTTTCCTGTTTATAGTGGCACTAGTGGCGAGCTAGGTAACTTGGCACAACCTGGAATAGCAAGGGTGTGTGTATGACACAGCAGACCTCTCACTTGCAATCTCTATTCTATATCTCTTTTTTTGGCATGGAATAAACAGATGATCTCTGTTGCTATATAAATGACCAGCAGTAGCAGCTGGATTCAATTCTGCAAGTTTTGAGGATATGGACCCTAAATGAGGAGTGGTTCTTCAACATTTGGTGTTTCTCACACATTGTGGAGACAGTAAAAAAGAAGCATTTGGAAGGGGGAGTGTGTGAATTTCTCACAGAGGAGCATAAACCAAAGTCATTATATCCTTTGTGAAAAAGGTTGGGAGATATTTCTGAAGAAAGTGGAAGCTGGATATTTCCATGTCTCATGGGTAGTGGTAAGCTGGAGAATGTGGATTGGCAGAATAGATACACAGTGGATTTGTACAGTTACATATGTTGGATCACAAAGTCCCTAAGGAAAACCATGTCATGACGAAAGCTGGCAGAATCTGTCTCATGAAAAAGGCAAATGTATCTGTTGTAATAATAACTATCCAAAGGCTTTCCATTACAATGTCTGTCTCATAAAAAGTGCATCTTATTTGTGGATGATCTAAAAATATAATGTTTTAGAACACACACATATGAAATTTAGGGCAGACAGACTGTGATCACAAAATAAAAATTCAAAAAGAGAGCATCTGTCATTGTGGAGTTTCTCTAATTTAAAAATCTAAAGTGTTGAAGAAGTTTACTGCCTTTTCCAGGGAGAAAGTCCTGTATATATTTGTATTTAAGAGTGTGATGACTGGTAAATCTTTGAAGCAAAGGCTTTAACTTGTCACTTCCTAAGCTGTAATATGCACAGATTGTGGAAAGGAAGATTGCAGTTGTAGCCTCTGTGAATTCCCCACAGTGAAAATTCAGAGTTTATTTCAGAGAAAACCTGAAATAAAACAGAATATATGCAATGTTTTGTGATGGGAGATGTGAAGACTGGAACAGAGAGGGGAAGATAATCAAATCTGGAACCAGGCCCATGTTTACCACCAGATCTGTTTTTATCTCTAGAATACAGTCAGGGTATCTACAGAACAAGGTCAATTGACTTCAGGCTGAGTTAGCATTGACTGATGATAAGGCTGTCGGGAACAGGAGGAGATTCAAGTCACAAATCTGGTTCAGTCAAAATATTCATGTTCTGGAATTTCAACAGTTAATATGGTTGCTCTTGTGCCAGAGAAGAGTTCTATGGATACTGTGGAATGCTGAAAAGAGAAAGAGATGGGTACTAGAACAAATCAGGCCTAAACTCCCCCTAGCAGTCAATAAAACTAAACTGAGGCTGTCATGCCTTGGCCCTATCATGAGAAGACATAGTTCACTAGAAAAGTCAATAATAGTTGGTAAAGTGGAGGGTAGCAGGCAAAAAGGTAGATTGCATTACTGATTGATAGATGGGGGCACATCCACACAGATACTGAACTCAGGCCTGATCTAGAGTACTTGATGTCAGATTGGGCTCAAGAAGTCTCCACATAAAGATTCCCCTAGCCTCCATAGAGGAGGGAGGGAATCCCTACTGCACAGCAGCACCAAACATGGTTTACCTTGGTTTAGGGCAGCCACCCTAAATGTCTCTGCCCTCTATATAATTGTGGTCTCCCACCATGACTTAGGACCTACCTGTTCCCAATCGCTTGCTCTAATGCCAGGGAGTGTAACGGGGCATCCCTGCTAGCTATGGAGCTCACAGTGAAGACATTGTGGTCACTTGGTGCTCATATTATTGGCAAGAAGAAGGAAGTAGCTCAAGGACCTCTGGATTAAGCTGTTAGTGTAGACATGAAGTATGAATTGAAAATTGTATTAGCTTATTCCTTCATTTTTATTAACACAGGTGATCTTTTTGAATTTTTTGATGCTTTAAATCAATTTTGTCATGCTAAGATATAGGCATGCATAAAATAGGGAAAAACTCTACAATGGTTAGGAAAGTATTCTTTTAAACTAAGAATGCTTCAGTTTTAATTGCATTCATGTACAACTTCTTAATTGAACTACACCTCCATCCTGCCAAAAATATCAGCAGGGAAACATCTGGACTATGTGTGACACTTGCTAGCATATATTTCAACTGATAAATTAGTTGCATTGTTACACCATGCCTGGGCAAATAATAGTAATAATAAAAATGGTGACTCAGAGCACAATGATTGTGTATCACTTTCTTTTCATGTCAGGACTGCTATTAAAGATGTGAATATCAAGTGTGATTGACAAGAAAAAGGGTCTAGAAGTCAGGCACACAATATAAGGAAAGGAGAACATTTAAATGGTAAGGTGGGGCACTAGGGTGAGTGCATGCATAGATTACAGCCTGTAGATCAGGAATGGCATGTATTCCACCCTTGACCCACTAGCCAAAGGGAAGGGAAAGTCAGATAACAAGGAGTTCTGCTGTTCTATTGGCAGCTAGATAAAAAGCAGGAAATTCTTTTCATTATTAAAATACAACCTGAAAAATAGAGTGAAGGTTTCATTAAGGCCTTTTCATGCGGTGTGAGGGGCAAGTCCACAAATGAATGTTAAGTATATTTAACAAGACTCTGAAGTCACTCAGCCATAGTGAGATGGAGTTATATCCCCCTCCCCCCAAATGTAAGTTCAGTTTAGAGATAGTTCTGGATTGAGCTCTGAGCCTAGAGGTCCAAGCTTCATCTGTGCTTTTGCATAAAGCTAATGCACCGACTACACCCATTCCTGAAGACATTGGATCTGGCCACTGTATTACACGCCTTGGTAACATCCCATCTGGATTACTGCAATAAGGATGCCTTTGGAAAGTGCTCAGAAACTTCAATTGGCCTAAAGAGGTGCAGCCAGATTGTTAGCTTTCTTATGATGGCAACTGTTCAGTGCACACATTTTAAACTTATATACATCACTAGCAAAAGTTGTAATTTTATGTTGTTCAAAATATAGCTATATTAGTCTGGAATATTAATATATAAAAGGACCTTGTGGCTCCTTAGAAATTTAAGATGCTTCTGAGGAAATAGACATAGGCCATGTCTACAATGGACAGCTAATCTGGGACAATCTGCAACATCATGCTACAGACTGGACCCAGCCTAATATTTTGCAATCCCATAATGGCTGTACTCCACATTATCTCTGATGGCCTGGCCCTTTGTCCTCATGTTGCTGTGACCACTATCTGAGTCTGGCCACTATGATTCCACCTGTTAAAGTCAGAATGGGGTATCTAGGTGATAAACATTTATGTGTGTAAAGTGAGCCCCTTCTTGTTGAACACATGTCTGCATGCCCATTCTGACCTCACAGATGTGACTGTGATGGCCAGGCTCTATCAGGGGCATCTTGGCTACTAAGACAATGGCAACAATGACATAAAGACAACCCATCCCCTTCCTTGCACTGATCAGCACAGGGACAGAGTGAGGTGGCAGTATGTGCATGTGAACAGTGGAATGGCCCAAAATGGATTCAATCCAGCTGTCAACACAATTGAAAATCTTAAGGATACTCCTGCCTTTCACCCAACATTGCTTACTGTGGAGCAACTTTGGTTAAGGGGGAAAACTCCAGATTCTTATCCAAAGTCACGTGTCATTAAGACTGCTGGCACTGGCCTTGTGGGGAATATGGGATTTTTAGCTCATGTAGACTCATCATTATTATCAATTTCACTCTCTTAAAGTGGTACAAGATCAGTTTGCATGTTGTTATTTGATTTGTATGCTTCGAAACATCTCAGCTGTATACTGAGAAATGTAGTATATGAAGGGTTTAGACTACAGAAAGCCTGACACAAAGTATTTATTTATTTAAAAGATGCTTTCATATCAAGGAGATTTCCATACTGACTTATGGCAGAAAAGAAAGGAAGAAAGAAAAGAAAAGAGCAGAAAAAATTGAACAAAAAAAATTCAATTTAAAATCAATTTAAAATAAAATGGTTGAAGCATAAATAAAACTGTAAAGAAAACCTTGCTAAGGTGTTAATGAATAAAGCAATTCTTACCTGGTGCCTTAAAAAGATTAAGACAGATGTCAGATAAACTTGTGAGGGGAAGCTTTGCACAGCTGAAGCAATGCAACAGAGAGGGCCGAAAGCTCTGTTATTGGACTTGTAATATTTGCAATAGTGTGGAAGGTGTGATTTGTCCATGACCTTCCTGCCTCTATTCTACATTTGGCCCCTAGTAATTAAGCTCAGTGGGTGGCTTGGCCCTCGTATTATCTTTTAGCTAAAACAACCCTATTGAAATGGGAGAACTCCAGGTGGGTTGAACACCTTGAAGGAAGGGTGGAATACAAGTCAGATAAGGCATCTGTTGCATAGGGAAAGGTTGGCCCTTGTTAAATCTATACAAATCAAAACTCAAAAGGGGAAAAAATATCCAAAGATTAATGGGTTGAGAGAAAAGTTCAAGATGATGTTAGGGGCAAATCAAAGTTTAAAATTTTACCAAATAATTCTGATTCCTTGTAGCCAGACTTCCTGACAGTATTATCTAAGCTGGGGAAATGTTACGTAAAAGGTTTTATGAAGCTTAATAGCTATGAACTGTTGCTGAGTCTGAATGTGCTCATTAGCCCTATCATCACTTAATCATGGATGCTCAGATAAAATTTTCTTTCTCACAATAGACTGGCCTATGGCTTTTTTGTATGAATACCTATATTTGCATGTGAACAAGGGCATTCATGCATGAAGTTCAGCATTCATTCTTCTTCTTAAAAGGGACCTACTCCATTAATTTGTTAGGGATTCAAACAAAACCTCAGGCCTTTTCTAAGAAAAAAATATTTTAAGGACAAAACATTACATTATGCAGCAAAAACAGACTTTCTGTACATGTGCCACATAGCACTAATGTAAACTTGAGGGTATTTGTAAGTGAAAAACAGCAGAAGGGAAATGCAGGCTTACCTCTTCCCCGGTTTAGAGACTGACCCCATAACCCTTCATTTCTGGCTGTTTTAAACTCCTCCAGCCAAGTTCTTAGGCTGAAACAAAATGTGAATGGAAGGAAAAGTGGTAAAGATGTGAAGAAGTACTAGGGGGCAGGCAGGGAGAAAGTTTAGACACTCTTCTAGATTCTGCCAGGATTTCCTACAATCATGTATTCTCTCACCTTACCACCAAGAAACACTGAAAGGCAATTTATTAGTTTTGCCCCTTGAACTGGTTCTTACCATGATTTTTGATAAAGAAACATAGAAAAAATGTCCAGAAAAGACCTAAAAATTTGGTCAATGAAAGTACTGTAACTCTTACAAAAAAGTAACAATTATCTTCTCTGATAGAATGATGAGAGCTTAGTCTGTCCCAGCAGAACCTAAAAGAAGCATTGACTCTCATTATTCCTTCCATCACAGTACTACTTCTGGCCTTTTGCATGCCTGGGCAGGAAAATGCAAATGGCAGTTAGGTTCAGTGACCTCCTGAAGCAGCACTTCCATTTCTCTGGCCGGATTCAGACAGGCCTTTATCCCAGAAGTACCCATGTTTAAAAAAACACAGATGTTTCTGGGGGCCTGTCCACACCTACCCCAGAAAGCGCATGTTTTCTGGGGTGGGTGTCCAGACATTCTCTTGGGACTAGCCCGAGGGAATGTTCGGAGGCCCTACCCCCTCTCTCCTAGCACACAGACCCCTTAGAAAAATAATAAAAGCTTACATGCCCTCCATTACAAGCCTCGGCCGGCTCTCCCGACACATAGAAATGATGTGCCAGGTTGGGGGGGGGGGGAAGTGATTTTTCCTCCCCTCCACCTTCCTGACATGCCATTTCTATGCATCAGGGGAGCTGGCCGAGGCTTGTAATGGAGGCCGAGTAAGTTTTTATTACTTTTCTAAGGGGTCTGGGGGCTTAGAAGGGTAGGTATTCTCACAGTTTACTGGGCTTATTAGCCTGGTAAACTGTGGGAATACAAACCCAGAAATAGTGGATTTATCCTGCACATTCCTGATTTGTAGCAAATTAATTTGGGACTGTCCAGAACATTGTCTGGACAGCCCCTCCTTTACTGTGGTAGATACAGCAATAAAGGTGCTGTCTGGACGGGCCCTCTGTGGAATGACTTCAACTTATCCATAGATTATATCAAAATCCATAATTTTGACCCCCAAACCTACCCTTGACTTATACATGAGGCAGAGTAATACATGAATATATACAGTATGTGTGTTTGAGTATAAAATATACCTTACCTCCTCCATCACAATGTCATAATATCTTCCATCACACAAATGGAAACCAGGATCAACATCAGAACATGGCCAAAAGGGCAAGGATATTACTGAGGAAGAACACACAATCTAGAAGAAGTTGTGGTAGCTTGCTTTTGCTCGAGTCTACAAGGAAGGATAATATTCTGTTCCTACTCTCCATTCATCTCCTCTTCTCACTGCTGTGTTAATTGTGCATAAGCTACTTTCACACTCTGAAAATTTTCAGGAGAAGTAAGTTGGGGACAAAAGGGGAAAGAGGAAGAGAGAGAAAAAGTGGGACATTTTAAGATGAACTAGCAAGATGGGACAAGAGAAGATTAATCAGGGCTGTTGCTGCCAAATAACAACAGTTGAAGGGCATGTGCTCATGTATGGATGTTAGGCATATTGTCCCTTTCATAAAATTAATGGAATTAATAATCAGGCCTCAATATATAGATTTTGCAAGGAAACCCCACAAAAAATGCGTACCTGTGTTCTTTGCATATGAACTTGGGTCAGGCAACTTTTACCAGGTCAAATAGATTTCATATTTGAGATGTTGTTTCTCAGTTTTCTTCCTGGAGGCTTTGACTTCTGCTAGTCTAGGCATGCATCCATTTGAGCAAGATCCTTCATGATTTCAGTCATCTTATAGATTTATGTGGGCCTGAAAGAGGTTTGGGAAGGGGAATAGAGGGAATGGATGAAGGAAGACAAAGAGAAGTGTCAGAGAAGTGAGAAAAGTTAAAAGACTGTGAGCAAACTAGGTAGCAAGCTATAGCTGGGAAATGAGCTTATGAATTGCATCAGTCTCAGGCAAAAGTTTTACTGTGAATGCAGCCATATTTCTCTGGTCAGACCTCATCTGGAATATTGTGTGCAGTTCTGGGCACCACAATTCAGGAAGAATATTGACAAGCTGAAATGTGTCCAAAGTATGGCAGCCAAAATGATCAAAGGTCTGGAAACCAAGCCCTATGAGGACCGACTTAAAGAGCTAGGTATAGTTAGCTTGGAGAAAAGAAGACTGAAATATAATGACTATATTTAAATATTTGAAAAAAAATGCCACATTGAAGAGGGGGCTAGTTTTTTGGTTTTTTTGCTGCTCTGGAAATTAGCTACCTCATCAGGTGAGCTACTTGGCCTATGGTATGCTACTTGTTCTCCCTTTTCAGGATGGAGCCCATTACACAATGCGCCTGTACTTTCATGCAGGCTCCATGCAGAAAGGGGAGAGCAAGCGGTGTATGCCACTGCCACTGCAGTACGGGAGCCTTCCTGTTTTGCCTTACCAGCCATGGCAAAAACCGGGCAGAGATGCTTCCGTCCATAGGATGGAAGTCAAAGTAAGTTGTGCAATGTGGGGCGTGGAGTAACAGGTTCTCCACATCTAATGTTAGGAGCCCATGGATTTGCCACAATACTTGGAGAATCCATGGGCCTTCATGATGAGGACACAGAACAATGGATTCAAATTGCAAGAAAAAAGGATTTCACCTGGACATTAGGAAGAACTTCCTGATTGGGTAAGGTAAAGGTTTTTCCCTGACATGAAGTCCAGTCATGTCCGACTCTGGGATGTTGTGCTCATCTCCATTTCTAAGCCAAAGAGCCGGTGTTGTCCGTAAACACCTCCAAGGTCATGTGGCTGGCATGACTGCATGGAGCGCCGTTACCTTCCCACCGGAGCGGCACCTATTGATCTACTCACATTTGCATGTTTTCAAACTGCTAGGTTGGCAGAAGCTGCGGCTGACAGTGGAATTTGAACCTGCGATCTTTCTGTCAACAAGCTCAGCAGCTCAGCGCTTTAACCCACTGAGCCACCAAGGGCTCCTGAACTTCCTGATAGTAAGAGACATTCAGTAATGGAATATACTGTCTTGGAGAGTGGTGGAGACTCCTTCTCTAAAGGTTTTAAAGTAGAGGGTGGATTCTTTGATTGTGTGTTCCTGCACAGCAGGGGGTTAGATTGATCCTTGTGGTCTCTTCCAGCTCTAAGATTGTCTGATATGTGGAAATTAGTATGACCTGAGGTTTATGTCTGCATGCCCATTTTCTGTAACATTTGAGCAAAACAGCAAAATAGAGGCAGCAGGGATCTAGTCCAATGACCAAGCTGCACATTCCCATGGCTGGCACAACAAACTAAGATACCACAGGGTTTCTTAAACCTGATTGGGCCTAGGTTGAAATCCACACACCTCCCTCCAATATCCATGCTTTCCTGCATGTGTGTGTGTGTGTGTGTGTGTGGGGGGGGATGTCCAGATGCCCTGCTGGGTCTTCTGGCAGGGCACCTGGACATAAAAGAACCATCTCCCCCCAGAAAAGCCTTTAAAAAAGAAAATAACATACTCGGCCACCATTACCTTGCTGCCAGAGTTCTCCTGGTGCATATAAATGATGCACCAGGAGGAAGGGGGCAGGAGCAATTTTCCTCTTCCCCTTCTCCTGATGTCTCATTTCTACACACCAGGAGAATTTCATTAGCACAGTAATGGTGACCCAGTAGTTATTTTCTTTTTTAAAGGCTTTTCTCGGGGGGTTTGGGAGGGGGTACTCTAGTAGCTCAACAAACCCAAGATAGTTGTGTGAATGGGCACTGGAAGTATTATTATTATTATTATTAAACATTATTTGTACCCGCTAGCATCTCCCAAAGGACTTGATGCAGCTTACAAAGGCCAAGGCCTCAACACAACAACAACAGACAATAACAATATGATGCAAAGCAAATTAAAAACATAAGCAATAACAAAACATTACACTATTACACAATAAAAACCAGGGCTGGGCCAATGATGGGTACAGGTTAGAAAAGTGCTGGGTGTGACAGGTGGTATGTTGGAATTCTGGGCAAGTGCAATGTGCAGAGAGTCTTAAACTCTAATAAAGTGCTTCTGGGACATAGTGCTGGGGGTTATCCTATTCTGGAAAGGCACATCGGAATAGCCAGGCCAAGCTTCGTGTATGCTTCTGCGAAGGTGTTTAGAGTGGCTTGTATATCTTCTTCTGAATGCGCACAGACGACATTGTCATCAGCATACTGGAGTTCTATAACAGATGTTGTTGTAACCTTGGTTTTGGCTTTCAGTCTGCTGAGGTTAAACAGCTTGCCATCTGTCTGATAGATGATTTCCACTCCAGTGGGAAGCTTCCCATCAACAAGGTGAACTATCATAGCAATGAAGATGGAGAATAAAGTTGGGGCAATAACACATCCCTGTTTGACACCTGATTCCACCTTAAATGGGTCACTTTGGGAGCCATTGCTGTCCAAGACCGTTGTCATCATGTCATCGTGGAGGAGCTGCAGGAGGAGCATTTTCCCGAATGAAGCAGAGAGTGTTTGAGGACTGGGACATCCGTAGGGAGACCAAGGTGCTTGTCTATAAAGCTGTTGTCCTCCCAACCCTGCTATATGCCTGTGAAACGTGGACTGTCTACAGACGACACATGCAACTCCTGGAACGATTCCATTAGCACTGCCTCCAGAAAATCCTGCAAATCTCTTGGGAAGACAAGCGGACAAACGTCAGTGTGCTGGAAGAAGCAAAGACCACCAGCATTGAAGTGATGGTTCTCCGCCATCAACTTCGCTGGACCGGCCACGTTGTCTGGATGCCTGACCACCGTCTCCCAAAGCAGTTGCTCTATTCCGAACTCAAGAACGGAAAACGGAATGTTGGTGGATAGGAAAAGAGATTTAAAAATGGGCTCAAAGCCAACCTCAAAAACTCTGGCATAGACTCTGAGAACTGGGAAGCCCTGGCCCTTGAGCGCTCCAGCTGGAGGTCAGCTGTGACCGGCAGTGCTGCAGAATTCGAGGAGGCACAAGTGGAGGGCGAAAGAGAGAAACGTGCCAAGAGGAAGGCACGTCAAGCCAACCCCGACCGGGACCGCCTTCCACCTGGAAACCAATGCCTTCACTGTGGGAGAAGATGCGGATCAAGAATAGGGCTCCACAGCCACCTACGAATCCACAAGGAAACCCATCATGGAAGACCATCTTACTCATCCAACGAGGGATCGCCTAAGTAAGTAAGTAAGTAAGTAAGTAAGTTTGTGGTATAAATAACAAAGTTTCTGGAGTCGAACAACTGCTTTCACAGCCAGGGCCACACAATGGAACAGGAAAGAACTCCTTCCAACCAGGAAAATAATGTAAACAACAACAAAAACAACAACAACTCCTCCTCTCCAGGCTCACTTTCCTAATTTCATGGCCTAGTGTATTCCCAAGAAGAGCCACTCCTCCCCTTCAGAGTGCCAGCCCTGCCTTGCCCTTCCCTTCCTCACCGGCTCCGTCCCGGAGTCAGGCCCGCCCTTGAGGCCCAGCCGGAATCGCTCCGGGCCAGGAGCGGTGCTGAGCTGGAGGCGGAGGAGCCTCTTCTGCTGATAATGGGGCATGTCTCATTTAGAGCCACATCCACTGTTTTAGTGTGGTGGGATGTGTTGCACACTGGGCATGCATACTCAGCAGCAGAGTAGCATAGCACAAGGGCAGATGTCTTCACTGTGTCTGGTTGTGATCCCCAGGTTGTGATATAAAGTCTCAATTTAACTTTATAACCAAGCCTGATATAAAGTCTCAATTTAACCTAGTTTGTGGCATAAAAAACAAAGTTTCTGGAGCAGAACAACGGCTTTCACAGCCAGGGCCACACAATGGAACAGGAAAAAACTCCTTCCAATCAGGAACATAGTGTAACAACAACAACAACAACAACTCCTGATCCCCAGGCCCAATCTGTATAGGGCCTGCAGCTGGAAAGACCTTGGTCTTCTGAAAGACGCAGGTTTTTCAGGCTGTAAAATTACTTCGGGACAAAGCATGGTTTTCCTGCTTTGTCCTGAAGGAATTTGTTTTTTACTTGGGCCATCGTAAAAATGCAGGTGACAGTGCATTTTGGGTGCTGTCTGAATGCACTCAGAGTAACATTTTCTCCCAGGTTTCTCTTTTTTTCCACACTCATGGCAGTGATCAAGAAAATATTATTAGAATTCCCTGAGCTGGAGCCTTCCAAAAATGTCAAGTGGACATGCTGACTGAAGATCATAGGAATTTTAGTCCCAAACATCTGCAAGACAATAGTTTAGAGAAGCAAAACTGAGGTGTGGCCTTATGACACTAAGACGATTTGAATCTCTTCCACATTATTCATGTCTTACGCAAATGTAGTGAATATATGAGAAATTGATTGCGTATTCTAATCAGTAAGTTAGAAAGAATTATCAAAGTAGGGCATTTTAGATGTTGTATGTGTATTTGACCTTACTTTTCCTTCTGAGTTACAATAAACACATTGAAGAACAGACTTTAGGGGAATATTTTGTTCAGCTTTTCAAGGAAGCAATAACTGAACGGGAAACTAAACAAGAACATTTTGATATTATCTGTCTTTAAAAGAGGAAAAAGCAGCAAGATAACAACAATCCCTGAGCACTTGAGTAATTAAAATCTCCAGGTCAGTTTTAAATCAAATAATTCCCACATACACAAAGTAATACTGGAAGAATTCCTTAGATATGTAAGAACCTCTTCCATCTCTTTAATCTAGTGTTTGTTTTCTGTATCTAAAACTGTACAAAACCCATAGACTTTGATCCTGATCCTTAATATAGATGAAGAGTTAGATCGTGAGCAATCAGCCTTGTGGC